GATCCGTAAAGTCACAGTTTGGTCGGTATACGGTTGATCCTCACGAAATTCAGCTTATTGATCTCGACGTTGGGCGTCTACGAAGTTCTTCATTCTAATAACAATAATAATAATAATAATATATTTATTCTCAAATAACTACGTTACAAGAGTCACGCCAGTTTACAGGCTAGATCAAATTGTCACAAATGTTTTCACAATTACTGTAAAGTTATAGCAGTTAAATTAAGTATAAGAGACAGTTTCTGATTGCATATTTACACCATATCACTGACAGAAACAGTATTATACAGCCTCATTTTCAATATTAGAGTACAAATGAGGAAGGTGCACAATCGGTTCTATTGGCGATTGGCCGAGATCAATAGTGAATTTGTTGGGAAAGGTCAAGTGGAACGCGCCTGATACGAGCTGTGATCCAGACAGTCATGTACATAGGGTGCATGTTCCCTAGAGTCGCCAAGGATTTCCCACCGTGAATGGGGTTCTGAGAAGGAGAAGAGAGAGAGAAAAAGGCAGCAGTGTGGCAAGTGTATATATATAACCGAAGCACTACTTAACCTGTCATGTTAAAGTAGTCAATACAGTAGTAAGTCAAGATAACATTCATACTGACCACTTAAATTAAAGTAAATTATGGGAATATAAGAATATAACACACAGATAAAGGAGTACAGCAAAAGAAGGGAGAGTTGTGCAGTTGTCAGGTGGATAGAAGAGAAGTCGAAGTAAGTGTAGAATTTATTTCGCCGGCGGCTGTCCTAATCGCGTCCAATAGAAACACACCGGTACGATACTCCTAGATCCAGGTCCCAGCCAATTCAGAAGGCCAAAAATTCTAGGAGAAAACCGTCTCTATATTGTTATAAAATGGAAATACAGAGGCTTACGATGTTTATGTTTCTTCCAGGACTAAATTACTCCGTAGAGTATCTATTACAATAGCTAGTAAGTGACACTAAGTCCAGCAGCCACCGCGTCTATCCAAAAATGTGGCGGTAGCCATATTATATCAAATTTAAACAATATATGTACAAGTCAGAAGCAAACACAAAAACTTCAATATAAGTACAAAATATGGAAAGAATAACAACATACAATGGTAAAATCTCAAAATTGGAATCAAATAAAATACCAAAAATGTCAAGAGAAAAAGTCCATCAGGTCATGGCAAAATATGTAAACATGGAGGGATTTTCCCAAAAACAAAACATTCAAAAAGAATTCTACAGTAAGAAGCTGGATTTATGTACGTTGAAATCGAAATTCTAGTTGAAAGAGTAGAGTTTGTAAAAATAAAACTTTGAGGAACAAAATCTCGCACTGTCTAACTGTTTATTATTATTATTATTATTATTATTGAATGCCAACCTCTAAGTCATACTGTAAGCGCCTGAGTAAGAATGTTGCGGGTGTCTCGACAGAATAGCGACCTCAGCATAGTTTTGGAAACATCAACCACAGAAGCAGCAAGCGTATAAGAGCAACCTCAGTGTTACTGATTAGTCGTCTCATCAATCTAAAGAGCCGAAAGCAAACAAAATGTTCTCCCTCACAAACATGGGTGGTTTGAAGTTATCGCCCACACCATCAATGTTTGCTGGTCAGTAACTCCACCCTCCCTCCTTTTGTGTTGTTAGGCTCATGTTAAGTGTTTAAAACAAGCTATTGAGTTCTACTTGGTGTTCTATGTCTCGCATCCTGTTGAGAAACACTATTTCTGCAAGTTCCTTTCACAAACTTGTCTGGCTGTTACAACTTATGAACTATTGGTTAGGCATCAATGCTATACAGTTAACAGTTATGGAGAAATAGTAAGGATTTTCAAACAAGATATAAGCATTTAGAATGTAGTGGGGAAGATGTACTTAACTAGCTAAGGAGGAGATATAAAGAGTATCACGGTTAAAAGTTGTTTAACAATACCCTGTTGGAGACTTTGCCTGGTATTGAAAGAAGTGTGATGCCTCTGTAGTTTTCACACTTGCTGAGATCGCTTTTCTCTGGTATTTTGATGAGGTATCCTTCTTTCCAATCTGATGGTACTTGTTCCTCATCCCAAATCTTCTTGAAGAGAATCAGAAACATTTTTGCAGTTGCTTCCACGTCTGCTTTCATTGCCTCTTCTGGAATGTTGTCTGGTCCTGCTGCTTTGCCGCTTTTGATTTGTCTGATGTCCATGCTGATATCTTTGATCGTTAGTGGGCCAACAATTATTGGGATGTCCGTGGATGCTGTTTCGATGTTGGGTGGGTTCAGTGGAGCTGGTTTATTCAAGAGTTCCTTAAAGTGCTATTCCTACCTGTTTCTCTGTCCATCAATGTTGGTGATGACTTTGCGTCTCTTTCTTCAAAATTGGCCGTTCTGGTTTACGATAGTTTCCAGCAAGCTTCTTTGTTCAATCTTATAATTTTCTCAAGTTTCCTTCTCTTGCAGCTTTTTCCGCCGTCATCTAAATATTTCTGTTTGTCGGCTCTGATGCTCCTCTCCACTTGCTTGTTTACTTCTGTGTATTCAGCTTATGCCTTTGATTTTTCTGCTCTTGTTCGGTTGATATTAATTACTGTCTTCATCATTCCTTCTTGAATCTTATCTAGAATATCAAAGGACATCCATTGTTTGGGATGGCACTTCTTGTGGCTCAGAACCTCATGACATGTTGAAGTGAATGCCTCTTTGCTAGCTTTCCAATTTTTCTTCATGGCAGTCTTCTTTCCATCGAGTAGATCGTGAAAAGCCTGGAACCTATTGGTGAGGGCTATCTTGAATTCGTTGAGCTTAACAGTATCCTGAAGGAAAGTCGTACTAAACTTCTGTGATGTTGTCTGCCCCGTTGTCCAGCGCTCCCTCAGTTTCTCACGTCCTGCATGGTCCTCCTGAACTTTTTGTCGATACATATATTAACAATTTGGTTCTGTGTATTGTGATCCGGTGAAATCCATGTAGTTTTGTGCATGTGTTTGTGCGGGAATATTGTGCCGCTGATGACCGGCCTGTTGAAGGCACATAGGTTTGCAAATCTCTCACCATTTTCGTTTCTTTCTCCCAGTCCATGTCGTCCCATGATGTCTTCATATCCAGTGTTGTCCATTCCAACCTTGGCATTCAGGTCTCTCATAAGAATCGTCAAATCCTTTGGTGAACATTTCTCGACGATTGACTGCAGCCTTTCATAGAATTGATCTTCAACGTCGTCATTGTAGTCGTTTGTAGGTGCATAGCATTGGATGACGTTCATTGTAATTTCCCCTTTCTTTGTTTTGAAGGATGATTTGATGATCCTTGGTCCATGAGATTCCCATCCTATCAGTGCCTTTTGTGCTTGTTTGGACAGCATCAGTGCAACTTCTTGTGTGTGTGAGGCATTTTCTTCATCATTGCTGGAATACAACAGCAGCTCTCCTGAAGCTAGTCCTAGTCGTCCAACTTGTGTCGGATGAGCTTCACTGATTCCGAGGACCTTTATTTGTGATCAAGATTGACTATGATCACCACCAATTACTAATTACTAGTCCGTCATTATAAGTGATAAATGAATCCAGGCTAAAGAATATATTTGCTGATGATTTCGTGGTATTGAAAGAACATCGAATTTACGAAAATAAAGTGGGGGACATAAAGAGCAGCATGTAACGAATGGTAGCAGCAAAAAAGACAGAAAGTTGCGCGTAAGTAAGCGTTTTTAATATAGTTAAACAAAAGGAATACAAAGAAACATTTATTCTTACAGTTGTGTATAGTAATAAATGTTTCCGTTTCACGAGTTGCGTTCTCTTCGTAAAAGCACTCCACTACACATCTTCAAGTAGCATCATTTCATCTCTGAAGCAACTTAGAATAGTCTTCCGGCCTTCCAGATCGTTTGAACTTTCAGTGTACCTGCAATTGGATTTTACCTGTAGACCTACATGCGTTATGTGAAACATTGTTATTTGAGAATAAGTATAAATTATGGCTATTTTTTTATAATCCATTGTCTGCTTTCAATGTTGTCGGGGAGCAAACATCAAATACATTTTGTCAACTGGATTGGTTCAACTTAGCAACACTTTCAGTACTAATTCTAAACTGAGATTTTCACTGACCTACCAGCCTGCCTCACTTTAACCTGGTATCATTACAGATAAAAAACAAAGCCTTTCGATGTCGAACTGTATTAGGGTCGTAACAAAAAAGAAGAAATAATATGGGCAAAGTGTGACCGGGCTGTTTAATTTATTACTCTATTTCAGTCCATTAACTTCGTTGCATCTTTTGACAGTGAAGGGTTGTAGACCAATCAACTTTCGTGGGCAATCTTCACCGTTAGGATCATGCTATAAATGATATAACAATTGTTATAGGGTAGAGAAATACTTCACTGACATCAGAGGACTGCTCACTATAGACACTAATTTGAGATTAGAAACAATAGGCACTACAAGTAGTAAAGTTAAGTTTTCTGGATTAGCTGCTCCACAGTCTGGTCAGCCGGATCGCGCTGGATTTTTAGTATCCGTAACTTTATCCCCATTTACATATACACCGAAGACCATAAACAAGGTTTTAGTAGGTTTTGTTTTAGGTCGTGGTAACAGCACGGTGGAGTGAAAGGTGTTGATGAAAAAAAATAAAACTTTCAACTTTCGAAATTCGATGGTATGAAATATAACACCCATTTGGGTAGATACATACTTTAGATATAACGTTTTAGTCATAACGGAATGTATTTGACTAACTTAGGTTGCTACAGAAATAGCTGTTCCAACGACAAAGAAAATAAGAATATCATTCAGTAAATCCATTTTTCTCTTGATTAGAAGAATATGTAGGTCAATAAAACATGGTCAAGACAACATCGCTCGAGTCACGAGCAATCAGCCTGAACAACAGTTTTGGAAAGAATCAATAGGAGAAAGATACTGAATAATAAATTGCTGGGATCCAGTACATAAATAAGTTGTGACTGATATTGAGTATCACTTAATATAGATAGAAAATATAAAGACCGGCTAACTTTAAAGTAGTAAAATCGAGTAGTGGTTTCCGGTGCTTGACCTAATATGTTTCAATATCCATGTTTGTTTTACATTACTTCTAAACTCAGAAGGTCAATTTTCGCGAAATCGGTTGTAGGTCATCCACGCGAGGTAAGTTCGGTCGCGACATTATCAACTAAGTGTCATTGTATTTCGATTCCTCACAACGGTTAGTTGTTTTGATTTGTGAAATTAATTAAAATTTTAATAAGACCTCATTTAATTATCAAATTCGAGCCGTATACCCTGGAAGCAACCATAAGGGGAAACAACAGGCAACATAAGCTTCCTTTATGGTGTTAGTTTTGGTGATAAAGTAGACAAGTCGGTGTTGACTTTTTTGAAAAAATATACTGATTGGTGAGTTTTCCTACTAACACCTGTATCAGTTTTTGGGGAAAAGCAGAGTTCCTGGGGACATTCCCATGCAAACCGAAATGAAGAATAAAGGGGACATTATTTAAGATCAGGAGAGATAATAGAAATACGCTCCAGGAAGTCGCTCTACTGCCTTCTTTGGGGGAATGATGTGTCATTATCGTCTTTTGCTATTTTGCATTGTCTAATTTTCACCTAGCCCCAGCTGTCTCCTACGTTGGTCTTCATTTATATTACGAAACACACGTTCGGAGGCAATTGAGTGAATTAAAAAACGGTGTAATGTTAAAGACATTGATTGACAAAAAATAATTTCATATTTTACGAGGAGATTATTGATACTCAAATGCTCGTTACATATGTTCATCATAAGTGCATTGTTCCCCCGTCATTTACGAATATCTACAAAAGAGGTTACAGATAGTGCATTATTCATTAAGAATAATATGTCTTAGTTGCTAAGTGCATGTGAACTCATACTCGCTCTTACTACATTTACTTAGTCGGTTTCAACATAGCACATGTAACTAAGAAAGTAAATTCGTATTAAGAGATTTCAATGCAATGGTGAGATTTTGGGGGAAGGTCGAACTATTAACCCCGGGCTGAGGGATAAAAATAATTTCATGTGTTGTCTCCCATATACACTTCAACAGCTATACATAAAATACAATCACAGAAAGTTGAAATGTTACTTCATAGATACTTCTGCAGATTTTCTTCGTTGCTACAGGTGATTATGGGTTTCTACTCTATTTTCGCATGAATTTACTTCCACTTCTGCCTGCATTTTGAGATGAAAGCAAACGACAGTCTTATAAGGTTTTTCAATGTGTTGCGTTTCCCTACTGTTATTTTAAAGTTTGCGATAATTTCCATGAAACTTCCTTTGTTTGTCCACCAAACGTCATTGTAGTTTCCGAATAAATTTTTCTTGTGCATAGAAGTATTTGTTTATTTATTGATGTTTGATTTCTTATTTTTTCACGTGATTTGCAATCCATTCAAATGTCTAGATACTGTTGTTAAATTCTAATTTTTTCTGCTAATCAAATAAAGGAAATTGTGACTAAAATGATTTTATATACGAATTATTCACTTATAAACCAGCATAAGTGTTGCACATTTCCTTTAATCCTTTTTCCGTAAGTTCGTTGGATTTAATTTGCAGTTCCTTTTGGAGCTAACTTATGGTCGTCAGTAGTTATCCCGACATAAAGCAGTGCTTCCACAATATCAGGATTGAAAAAGCGATGGTAAATTACCTAGAATGACTACACTTCATAAGATACAAACTACATGGTTAATGTATGCACCGTCATCGTGATCCATGGTTAGTGTTATTAAGTGATGTAGTTCAGAATCTATTGCGATAGCATGGATGGATGCACTCTGTTTTCCCAGAATTCACAATAAGCCACAGGAATTGTAAGGTATATGGAAATATACTGGAAAGTTCTAAAAACTGAAGGCATATTTAAAATTTCGGTAGACTGAAAAGTTGATATAATAAGCGGAATGCAGGATGCACGTTTCGTTCTGGTTTGGGGCACGTCAGCTGAATTCACCCGTATCCCAGAGTTCTTATTTTAAAATATTCATGTATTCAAGTACTCTTTATGTTCTCTCAAATTTTAATCTGAATTCCTCATCACCTCTGTCTCTGTCTTTCTGGTTTTTTTCACTGAATTATGGTTCTTGAATAATATCTTCGAATCCTAATCTTCTTCATTACTGCTAATACTTCTATAATCTTTACCACTATGGGATTTGAACTGATAGTTGCATCTCTGTGCTAATGTGGTATGGCAACCTGAACTGATGTATGTGCGTGCCAAGTTCTACGCTGTAACTGACTGACTGAATGACTGACATGTATTCAAGTATTAATTAACGAACTATTATGGAAATGTATCAAAACGAATCAATGTTAATCACATGTACCAAAGTAGTATTAACACTTGATGTACGTAGTATGTGCCGTATATAGAAATTCGATCAGTGCATTTCACATTGATGACATTTAACTGATGATCTAATATCTGAATTAAGTAGTCTTGACTTCGTATTACTTGTGGTTTATTTGTTTGTTAGTTTTTTTCACTCAATTTTGATCGATAGATAAGAGTTCGGCAAAAAGTTCTAAAAAATCACCTAGTCTATCACATTTATTGTAGTGTATATAACGGTGTTTTTGACTCTAAAGTAGATTTTATTTATTTCTGTGTATCTAGTATCTCTAATCATGCTTTATTTTTATTTGCAGACTATATTTTTATTAGTACAGTTTCAGTTATCGACTAGATATCCTTATTAGTGTGCTTATTTGAAGATTATTTCCAATCATGCATCTTAAACGAAGTACGTGACCTTTAGTTTTTTCTTACATTTATTTAACTGGTAGACATTGAAGGTTTCAGATAAATATTTACACCAAGTTGTTATTAGAGGGTTACAAGCGTCCTTTTAATAGAAATGATAGTTAAGTACACAGTTAATCAAGCACTTCTGATACTAGCAGTAAGATAAGTTAGGAGATAAAGGTTTCCATTTTGTTCAGTTTATTTTTAAGTCGCAGCAAATTCTTAGGTGCTTTTTGCAGGGCAATCGACGCCACCATCGCCTACGTCATTTCAAAGCTGTTTCCAGAGTTCCACATCTGATTGAGTTGTAACGGAATAGCGGAAGTATGTAGCTTCGCTTGACTTCCCTACTAGTTTGTAACAGTGCGAAAAAGTGGCTTATATTTGATACTTTTTTTCGTATAGGACTTATAAGACGTTAACAGTTATTGTTGAAAAATTCCCCAAAGTCTACAGTTTGAGAATGTTGTCTTGTTTGGTGAAATATATTCGCCTTTGAACCATGTCAATCTGGTTCTCTAACCATCGATTACTATCATCTCGCGGGCCCATAAATGCACACGAGCTGATTAGTGAACGATTAATTTAGTCTAAAGCTAAACTTTAAGGTAGGTATGTCGAAGATAAATTTGTCAGACATTAATGACTACCAGTTATTAGTTATGATCTACACATAACAAAGTACAAGAAAAATGATTATTTTTATCCGGTCTGCTATCAATAAGTTCCGATTAGTGTGGTATGTCTAAACGATCTAAATATCCATATAAGTCTACCACAAACATTAATGTTTGTCTGTTAAAGGCGTTTAATTGAGGTCATTCAGTTGACGATAAAATTCATCAAAGCTAACGTTACTAAATATGAGTTGTATACATTTCAAGCGTAGTTTAATCGTCACACCAGATTTGGAGACACACCAACGGCTCTTAACAATAGACAGTTTTTATCCATTTGTTGCACTTGTATTTTTCGACTTATATCAAAACTGGAAACATATCTAAATACTGCTATTGAAGGATGTGAGAACTCATAGATTAACTTACATTTTCGCACAGCTTGTTGGTTCTGTTGTACACTGGCAATGTTGTAAGAGCATTTCTCATCATCATCATCAACAGCAACGTAGAACTTCGTACGTACGTACATCAGTTCAAGTTGCCATACCACATTAGCACACAGAGATGTAATTGGCAATTCAAATCCCATAGTAGTAGAGGTAGTGAAAGTATTAGAAGTAACTGGAGAGATTGGGCTTCGAAGATATTATTCGAGAAGTATAATTCATTGAAGTAAATTTAGAAGGAGAGATAGAGGTGATGAGGAATTCAGAAGGTTAGAATGAGAGAACACAAAGAATGTATGCAAACGGTTTTAAGCCATGTCACTCAGGGTCTCTAACCATCGGTTATTATCATCTCGCGGACCCCGACCAGGTAGTTGACACCTACCAACATGACTCAGTTCACTTGTCAGTCATTTTATAACAACCACACAACCAGAACTTCTCCACGGTGTGAGCAGCCGGGAAGTTACATCCGCACTATACCCATAAAAGCAAACGAGACCAAATTGATCCCAATCAAATCGTTTCTACACCTCCAAGAGAATTTCTAGAATTCTCCTAAGTCCAATGACAGTGTCTTGTAATACGATCGAGCAAACCGGCATTCTCTTATAAATGTCACTTAAGGTTTTCGGGCTTACCAATGTCTTCTGTCTTAGGATATTCACCAAATATCCTAAGAGTACTATTTTTGGAAGTATAATCCTTTTTGGTCGATTTCTACTGGTCAGAATTATGGTCGTCTTAACTGTCAAAGTCCAAAATACTTCAATGTTGTCTCTGATTGAACATCTGGACTGTCAATGTCATTTCAAATGTTCTTTCCTGTTGGTCATCCTAAACTGTCAATGTCACAGACTTCGATACTCTTTCCTATTCGACCTAAATGTATGAATACGCACTATCTGTAAGACTTCATGATGATTCCGATTCCGTTTCTTCCTGCCTACCGCTCTTCTGTACTCGACCGAAATAAACAACTCCATCCCATAGTGTTGCGTTCTGATATCTAGGAGATTTGGAAATAGTATTTGGGTCGTACTGGGATATTTGAATTCGGATGCCGCTAGGACTGAATAGCCATACGTAGCAGCATTATAACATTCTGGTTTCCTATGAGCTCCCTGTTTAAACAACAATGATTCAATTGTCTACCATACATTACAAGTAGTGCAGATCCACGGATAAACAGAATTAGCTTATTCAAAAACTATTCCACTTTGTAATTACCGAAGTTTGATACTAACAAAAATCACTTTTTCTAACATCGTGTCATGCTAAATAGGCGTAAAACATTGATCAGTCTGAGATGCTCACTGAATAAAGTTTAGAAAAATCGGTATTGTATGGAATGGTCACTCAGTAGAACTTATTTTAAAGGCATTAGAGTTCTTACTGATCTAATTACGTATGTGTGTGACTAATGATCTATTTAAATCAATCGAAAGTCTTTGATAAATATCGATTAACTTTGATTTGTTACGAAAAAATTTTTTTTTTAACTTATTGATTTTTCACAGATGATCCTAAACCACCGATTGATCCTAATCGTTTAACTCTTATTGGATTCAGATTTTGCCCTTATGTTGATCGTGTTAGACTAGCATTGAGTTATTACAAAGTTGAGTAAGTTTCATATATATATCTGCATAAAATACATTCGCTCCGTTTCGCTCCGTCTTACTTTATGGCTGTGAAACATGGCCAATGAGAGTAGAAGATATTCGTCGGTTATTGGTTTCCGATCATAGATGTCTTCGAAGCATTGCTCGTACATCGTGGGACACTCGAGTGAGCAACGCTGTTATTAGGAAACGGGTACTAGGTAAGAATGGCAGATCAATCGATGAAGTGGTGAAACTTCATCAGTTGAGGTGGTTGGGACACGTGTTGCGAATGCCTAACCACCGACTGCCTCGTCGAGCTTTGTTTTGTAGTGTAGGAATAGGTTAGGAGAAAGTTAGGGGCGGCCAAACCAAAACATGGCAGAAATGCATGAAATCATTGACAAGTGGACTGGGTCATGTTGGTAGGTGTCTTCCACCTGGTTGGGATCCGTGAGATGATAATAATTGATGGTTAGAGACCTTGATTGACATGGCTCAAAATCGTTCGCAATGGCGCTGGTGCATTTATTCTTTGTGTTCTCTCAAATCCTAATCTTCTGAGTTCTTCAACACCTCTAGTTTTGACTTTCTAAACTTATCTCACTGAATCATACTTCTTGAATAATATCTTCTAATTCTAACCCCTCCGATTACTTCTAATACCTTTACTACCTCTTCTACTATTGGATTTGAATCGACAATTATATCTCTGTGCTGATGTGGTATGGCGACATGAACTGATGTACTTACGTACAAAGTTCTACGTTGCATCTGACTGACTGACTGATAAAATATAACGTAAGTGAAGGTACATGTGCGCAGTTAATACATTCAAATAGTTGAAGTGACTAAAACGCTTTCGGGCTTTCTTTGAAATAAGAAACGATTAGTTATGTTAGCAAAACACGCGTCTTTACTTGCTATATCAATGTAATGAACGATCGGTTAGTTAGTCATAAGCAATGTAAAGTTTGATACACATATGTGCATCGATTCACAACGAGATAAACGTATCAAGACAAATGCCAACGTATTAAAGGTAAGAATAGTATCATTGGTAGTACAGAGCGGTAGGAATCCAGAAGGGAGCATGAATTCATGGGATAAAGACTGTGGGGTGATTTTAGAATTGCTCACCTAAATGAAGGTGAATGATGGATGTATCTGTATTATTGTAACCGCTTCTGAGCCATTTCACCAAACACCTGAAATTATTGGTTACGATAATCAGATGAATCTCAACCCAGGTAGTCTATACCTAACAACACAGCTCAGCTCAACAGTTGATGCGATGTTATCGAGTGGAAGGCATGTACAAGGTTAGTGTACGTCTTTGGTACACACTTTAATGGCACACTGCCTCAGAACCTCACGATTGACAGAGTCAAATGCCGCCTTAAGGTTGAGAAATACCAGCTATTATCGGACGTCAAAATGTGTGTCTATGTTTTAGCACCTGACGAAGTGTGAATATCCGCGTCCAGGTCTGAAACCGGTCTGGTTTTCTCTAGTCTGCTTTTCATGAGCTCTAGTTAAACATACAAGTATTATCGAGGTTAACAATCTAGACACTATATTAGTTAGGCTGATTCCTCTGTTATTGTCACAAGAGGACTTTTGACCTTTCTTATAAATTGGGACAATCATTGATTGAGACCGGTCAGATGGGATTACGTCCAGTTGCCAGATTCGACCCAAGATCTCAGTGAAAAGTCCCGTCTTTTTTCGACATAATCTCCTTAATAGCTTATTTCCTGAATAGCTTTCTACCGTTATTTATTGCCACCGCCTTTTCCGCCTGTTTTACTTTCACTACCCACTACTGTTCATAACCATTGTTTAGGCTTTTTATTAGCCTGTACTTAAGCTATTTCCACTCTAAATCATGTTCAGAGCTAGGTGGAATGAGTTATCGAGCATCTCTCAATTCAGTAGGTGCTACTGAAATCCACTGTTTCTCCTTAACCTTTTGGTTTAACTTACTGGCAGATATTACTACTGTTTACATAGATTTCTGGATATCGTTCGAGGCTGCCTTAAGATGGGCATCACTTAAATGATTGCCTAACTGCTTTTCGAGTTACTCTCGAAATATACGTTTGGTTCGTTATCAGCTCTTTATTTTGGATGACTGTATTCGAATCCTGTATGAGCGTTTCGGTGACGCAGTGTGCATCGATGGCACGAGATTCTAAATTGCTAGCTAAGAAAGCCTGTTGTTCTATTTGGCACAAAGTCCGACCAGGAATAATATATCATGTACTCAAATCTTTAGTATTGGCGGCGCCACGTGACAAAAAGTATATGAAAAAGGTTAGTCTTGGAGACAAGAGAGTTATTAGAAGGTAGATAAAAGATTTGATTATAAGTAAGTTGGTTTCATGTGCTGTTAGGATTATGAACGTGGATATCACTTCCTGGTTACCCACACCGTGGAAGGGTATTTCTTGAAGAACCTGAAAATGAAGTTGGATTAGTGTTGGTCTTAGAGATCTGGGAGTATGATCGCATAACCCACACGGCAACTGCTTGACGCCTGTTTACGAGAAGTTTTTAATGTGTTAGATCTGCTCTTCAGAAATCTTCGTCGCCGGAGACGGAAATCCACGGAGTAAGGTAAGGTGTGACAGTTTTAGGGTCGTCGTTTTCCGATCTCTTCCTTCAGTTGTGAGAAGGCAGCGTCGCTGAAAGATGTTGGTTATCCGAGGGAAACACCTTACTTTCGTCACATCCCTCGGCAGTCAGTAGTACGACTTTGCCTCCAGACTGTAAATTGCTGCCTTTAGTCTTATCACTCTCCGATCGACCTGCTGGGCATGGTAGTAGTGTGGTGTGAGCTACTTATAAGTAGTATATGACGTGAGCGTCAACGTAATGTCTGGCAGAAGAGAAAATGGGGGAAGATCAAGAAAGGAAGAGTTAGAAAACAATGGAGTTTGTGTATGAAACGCATGAATAGTAGTGACAATGGATTGATGTTGTTTGCAACAGGAACAGTTCAGTTCGATATGATGAACTGATAATTTGCAAATGAACGATTTACGATATGGTTTCCCAATTTTACTTAGTAACTCTGTAATTTTCGTTAAATACAATTCGGTTGTCCTCACCTGTGTTCTCGTTCACTACAGTAGGACTTAAGCGAGCATATATTCCAGCCAATATAGTTCAATTCGACTATCACAATAGACCATCATGCCAAAAAATAGCCATTAACGTTCAGTAAAACAATAAGTAGTTTATTTATTATTTATTACAATATTAGCACAATTTAAAACTATTTATGTTATTTCGAACTAATTTTCTAATCATCCTCTTGTCATATTTATTCATATAAATCTGTAATTATTTTATAGTTACATATAGTTACTATATATATAACTATAGGTAGGTAGGTAGATAGGTAGGTAGGCAGTGAATGAACAATGTATCACTTAAACTCTATAGAGAGGGAGCGAGCGAGCGAGCCAGTGAGATAGAGAGAGATACAGAAAACTAATCATCAAATAAACTATTTATTTATTTTTAACAACTTTATTTCTAAATATATATATTTTATCAAGTTGTAAATAGTAAACAGTTTGATCATTTCATACATACATACATACATACGTACATGCACGCACGCACACACACAGACATACAACACAAACATACATGTGTGTGCGTGCGTATGGTTGACCTCTCATAATCCATTTGATTAGTAAACAATCAATTGTCATTTGCTTAAATTTTCACGTGTATCTCAATCGTAAACAAACACAGATTCCGTTAATGAATAACTGAGTTAATTAATGAATTCATTAACATTAAAAAATAATAATAAGATAAAATGAGATCAGTGTGAAATGGTTGTGTGTTTTGTGTTTTCTGTGTTCCGTATAACAAAAAGATGTGTGGGGACATCAGTGTATGTATGAATTGATTTGGTTACTAAATATAAGGTTTCTCAATGTGGTATGTACTTAACTATGAATATGCCATGTAATATATGTATGCACTGTTGCATGGAAATTCTACTCACTACCACCTTTTCATGGTACAAGATGAAAAACGAATGTACGTACTTACGTACGTACGTACATCAGTTCAGGTTGTCGTACTAGGTTAGCATCCCGACCGTAGCTGCCTCGAAGAGCTTTGTTTTGTAGTGTAGGAGTAGGTTGGAAGAAAGCTAGCGAAGGTCAAACGAAAACCTGACAGAAATCCATGAAGTCATTGACGAGTGGACTTAGTCATGTAGGTAGTTGTCGACTACCTGGTTGGGGTCCGCGAGATGATAATAATCGATGGTTAGAGACGTTGAATGACATGGCTCAAAACCGTTCGCAATGACACCGGTGCATTTATTCTTTGTGTTCTCTCAAATCCTAATCTTCTGGATTCTTCAACACCCCTAGTTTTGACTTTCTAAACTTTTCTCATTTGATCATACTTCTTGAATAATATCTTCTAATCCTAATCTCTCCGATTACTTCTAATACTTTTACTACCTCTTCTACTATTGGATTTGAATTGACAATTACATCTCTGTGCTGATGTGGTATGGCTACATGAACTGATGTACTTACGTACGAAATTCTACGTTGAATCTGACTGACCAGGTTAGCATACAGAGATGCGATTGTCAATTCAAATCCTATAGTAGTAGTAGAGGTAGTAAAGGTATTAACAGTTATCAGAGAGGCAAGGAATAAACCAATTTGGCTGGGAGGTATAGAGGATTGACGTAAGGAAGTTGGAAAATCTTGATCCGAAGCCAATGATACATTTAGGCCACAGAGTCCTGGTCAGACAAACAAAGTATGAAACTATTATTAGTAACCGGCCCAGATAATGCGATTGCATCTCCTGAATTCGCTTCACTACCTCATAGATATTAGACATGTAAGTTCAAAGGTTCGGCGAGTGGGCTTCCTCAAAGAAAAGCACTTACTTCAGTTTGGGCACTCGGACAGTATCTCAGCTTCGCTCACAAATCCAATTCATTTATTAACATAAAAAATATGATAAAATGAGATCAGTGTGAAATGATTGTGTTTTCTGTTCCGTATAAAGAAAAAAGTGTGAGGACACCAGTGTGTGAATTGATCATGTGACTGAATAAGTTTTCTCAATGTAGAATAACTCACTACCTTCTCATGGTACAAGACGAAAAAACAAATGTCCGACAGTCAGTCAGTTACAACGCAGAACTTTGTATGTACGTACGTACGTACGTCAGTTCAGGTTGTCGTACCACATCAGCATACAGAGATGCAATTGTCAATTCAAATCCCACAGTAGTAGTAGAGGTAGTAAAGGTATTAACCGTTATCGAAGAGGCAAGGAATAAACCAATTTGGTGGGGAGGGTATAGAGGATTGACATAAGGAAGTTGGAAAATCTTAATCCGAAGCCAAAGGGTCGTGATCAGACAAATAAAGTATGATCCTATCATTGGTAATCGTATAACGTCATACGATTGCATCTCCTGAATTTGCTTCACTACCTTATAGATATTAGACTTGTAAGTTCAAGAGCTCGGCGAGTGGGCTTCCTCAAAGAAAAGCATTTGCTTCGGTTTTGGCACTCGGACAGTATCTCAACGTGGCTCCCAAAATTCAATAATTTGTGTGGTACATAAATAAGTATTTAGTTGGTCCTTTGAACCAATATTTCTGTATATATAAATAGATAAATAAACCACGTTTAAATGATTGTTTCATGGGGTGTTTGTCAGTGTTTTTTAGCCCGTCCACTTTTATTCAACAAGTTTTTAAGATTAAACGACACTTCATCTAATAGTTTTTAAATGATTAGTTCGCTATTTGAAGTTTCGATGTATAGGGATGCAAATGATAGAGTATTTTTAGATGTATATGCTGGAAAAACAATGAAATCACTAAGCTAGGGACTAATTGTCCTAAAGACTCTGTTCTCCATGTTTAGTTACATATATATTGATAAGGAATATGGTTTTCAGTATGTAACGCTGTAGAGGTTGTAACCGGTGTTTAAAGTTCAACTGTTCCCTTTAAAGCTAATTGTATTGTTTAAAAATGTTCAGTGGTTGGAGATAGTCAATAGGAAACTTACAGATCTATTTGTTACTTTTCATGTGGTGTAACTGATTACTCTGGCAGATTCGATAGCCTATCAACTAATTTCACAGTTTTGAAATATTCAAGATGTAGCTTCGTCGAAATTATTAGAAATGAGAAATTGCTTACTGAATATATTAATAAGTAGTATAGAAAACAATACACAAAAAACGAGCCGAGTGAGAACAGAATTTAAACGTACAAGGTGTAGCAACCCACAATCGCCTATAGAGCGTATATCCATGTCTAGTTTGTATGAAGATATTTTCACATTTGCATGTTATTAGATCGCATAGAAAAGTCTTCCTTATGGTGAGCGATCTTGTATTGCGTTAGCGGTTCATTTGAAGGCTTACATCATACTATTGCAATATTTATCAATTGATTGGTTCAGATTTAACAATCGGAAAATATCCAAATGTCATGTACTACAAATAATCAAATCGTTATTTTTCCCATAGTGTTAATTTAATACTGTTGCACTCTCTCTCTGTGTGTGTGCGTTTGTCTTCCCGTTTAAACAGTTATGATTTGATAAATATTTCATTGAATTCCAAACCAGAATGGTACTTAGAAATGTATCCAACTGGCAAAGTTCCTTTATTATTGATACCAAATGAACAGAAATTACCAGAATCTGATGCTATTCTATGTTATATTGATAAATCTTATGGTTCTGGCAATTTATTAACTCAATGTGGTATGGATCAATTTGAAAAAGCTAAAGAACTGATTAATTATGTAAGTATTGTGTGAATTTTGTCATATTGGAACTAATCAATTCTAGAATGATCTATCTCATGTGCATTTGAGTTTGTTTTTTTGCATTTCATGTGGTTTAAGCTGGTAGGTAGCATTATTCATAAAGAAACAATAACTTTTTTGGATCATTGTACGTTCATTATCTTTACGCTTCAGTCAGTCAGTCAGTCAGTTGCAACGTAGAACTTCGTACGTAAGTACATCAGTTCATGTCGCCATACCACATCAGCACAGAGATGTAATTGTCAATTCAAATCCAATAGTAGAAGAGGTAGTAAAGGTATTAGAAGTAATCGGAGAGGTTCGGATTAGATATTATTCAAGAAGCATGAATTAATGAGAAAAGTTTAGAAAGTCAAAACTAGGGGTTGGGGTTGAAGAACCCAGAAGATTAGGATTTGAGAGAACACAAAGAGTGGATGCACCTGCGCCATCGCAAACGATTTTGAGCCATGTCATTCAAGGTCTCTAGCCATCGATTATTATCATCTCGCGGACCCCAACCAGGTAGTCGATAATTACCGACATGGCTAAGTCCACTCGTCAATGACTTCATGGATTTATGCCATGTTTTGGTCTGGCCGCCCCTAGCTTTCTTTTAACCTATTCCTACACTACAAAACAAAGCTGGACGAGGCAGTCGGTAGTTAGGCATACGCAACACGTGTCCCAACCACCTCAACTGATGAAGTTTCATTACTTCATCGATTGATCTGCCATTCTTACCTAGTACCCGTTTCCTAATAACAGCGTCTTTACGCTTATATGAGCATGATATGTACTTGAACATTGCTTACCGCTTACTCACATATTATTCATTCTACAAGCTTTGATTTTAGTCGGTGAAATAATTCGGCGACTCATTCATTCATTCAATGTATATTTTCTGGTTAAGGGTTAGATTTATGGGAAACCATAAATCTAAAATCCCCCCACTAATTACTACTCATCAGCATGGTGTATCTGCAGTTTTTTGGCGACTGATGCTTCTCGCTATGTCACTTGACTTGGTATCACTGAACTATTCAGGCCGTGACTATCAAGTGTTTATTTTTTCCGGCTGACCTTTGACAGAATAAACAACACTTAAAAGTAGTTTGGTGACAAACAAAGTCATTAGAATAGACTACCGATGTGAAATAAACATCGATGATATCATTCAGTATGACAATGAATTCCTATTATCAAGCTCACCGAATAATGGTGGATGCCGCTTACAAGTTGTCATGTGAGTAGTATACATTGGAGCATCGCTTAAAAGTTACTACTCGAGAGGAGAGTGTTTGAATACCGATATATATGACTCAATCAAAGAAAGTCATGAGACAAGCTAGTCCGAAGCCTATTTGTGTCAGAAATGAATATTTAATGATCAGTTGTCCATATTTTGTAAATAAATTGTCTCTCTTCTGTAATTATCTATATTCCGTCTAGCCCTCAACTTGTTCGTGTGATACACAGTTTAAAAAAAACAGACCTAAATAAAAGCAAATGTTACCATTTTAAAATGAAACAAAATGTGTTTATTCATTTTAGTGTAATGGAGATTGTTGTTTTTCCATTGAAATCATGAACCATTGTAAGACCACGATTAGAAACGTGGAAGCATTGGATCGTCGTTTCGTCCTAATAGGGGATTCTTCAGCAGTGTGCATTCACGACACTCGCTTGCGGGAATCAAACCCTGTTGCTTCGATCTCGCGCACGAGCCCTCTAGACAACTGAGCCGGCGTCCAATAGTGTTTATGTCCAATTTCGATTGATCTGACGTTTTGTGCAGCCTCACACTATTGTCTTCGATAGTTAACTGCTTACACCCGACATGGTTGAACTCCACTTGTTACTACTTCCCACTGGAACTTCGAGAAATTTCCTCACGAAGCTGAGTCACTTTTATTCATTCACCCTACCGAAGCTGCTACATTGACGTGGTGGTCAGGCTTGCCTATAGTGATGACCCAACCGAGCTATACTGGCTGGAACATATGTTCCTGAAGGTTCTACCATGCTAAGCCGGTTGATTCGAGAACGATGGGACTAAAAGCATCTACTCAAGGTCCGAGGGCGAAGTCGTACTGCTGACTGTGATGGAGAGGTGTGACAGCAGTAAGGTGTTTCCCTCGGATAACTAGCATCTGCAACGATGCTACCTTCTCACAAAGAAGAAAGGGTTAGAAAAGGTCGACCCTAAAAATGTCACACCTCACCTTACCTCACGGATTTCTGTCTCCATCGGTAAGGGTGCCCACTAAAGGTTTGTAAGAGCGGAGCTAATACTCAAAAAACCTTTGATAAAAAGGCTGTGCGTGACCGGCCTCAAGCAGTTGTCCCCTGGGCTCTGCGGTTAATCTACCTTCCTTTTCAGGTTCCTCAAGAAACAACCTTCCACGGTGTGTGGTCTGTCTATCTATTGATTCACGATGCTTTTACTAAATTAAATGAATACTTATTGATGATTGTCAGTTTTTACACAAAAAATCTATCTATCTATATTGTTTTGTTGCCTTTGATTATTATTCAAGATAGCCAGACCAACTTACATGATTATGTGTGTGCCTGAAATTAATCTATGCGATGTGTCAGCCTATCGAGAAGCATGCAAAAAGATAAATGATGCTATACAAGGCCCATATTTCACTGGTAAATTCATTGATTGATTGATTTATTTTGATGAGGATGACTTACTTACTTTTTTTTCTGGTTAGCGTTTTTTTGACAAGTTAGTTTTAGTTGGGATGAGGGTGCCAACCCCCATATCCAACCCCTCCTCCTTTATCATCCGGGCTTGTAACCGGCAGTAGCTCCGAAGGGACTACTGGCGGTATTATGAGGTTGACAATAAATTTGTTTCTGTAAAGTATTGAATTAAATTCCTATTCAGTAAGGTATTTTTGTCAACTACTTCAACATTACTTATTATCCAATCTGTAATTGTTTAAGTTTAGTTAATATAATTATTCTAATATCCCCAAATGCCCAGCTACGGTCGATAGTGAGGAGAGTTCGATCTGTCTCTCTCTACCTTCAGATACTCTCGCATGGCTACATGTGTATAATAGCCATTAACATTAAATTTCTACTCACTGAATTCTCATAGTGAGGTTGTTGTATACGACTTTGAGATAACGAAATCTGAATATCTGACAGAGGCTTTAATCGGATTAGTGGGCACAGAAAGCCTACCTAGAAGAGTTGGCAAACCCTCAGTCGAAATCAGTGTTGCACATGGGCCTCACGACCCTGATAGAGCAAATGGCGTATAAATCTACCGTTGGTGACCAGCTACCTGAAGTTGCTACACACTGCCTTATGGACTAGACTTGTAGGTCAAAGGCTTTAGCAATGAACTCCTCCTAAGGAAAGCACCTGGTTCGGTTTTGGTCGCTGGGGAAATCTGAAGGTCATTTTCTCGACCGTTAGTGTAGTTGTGATAGTTTTGCACTAGAGTTAATGATAAGAAAGCCTTTCAAATTGTTTAATTCGTATGGTCACTCCATAAGATCTAAGATGTCTAAATGGATGTCTAGGTTTTATTTGATCAACTTAACTGCAAGTTAAAAATATATTGATGAAATTTACTGTGGCATTCCATTCAATTTAGGCTTAGAATAGAAACAAATTTTTAAAATCAATAGTCACTACTTTATGAGGCGAAATTTTCCCTAACCTATAACGATTTTCTATTATGTCTTGTATAAATTCACTTGACGAAAAACACTTACCGGTAGTTATGCTACTCTTTCATTCTATCTATCTATCTGAAACTAACTTGATTTGAGATTGTGCTACACATTCTCGGTGGATTCTATTGTGACATTATGATTAATAGTTAGTCTCTACATGGTTCACCGAAGAATCGTAGAGAAGTTCAGGTCCATCAGGTAGATGGAACTGCGACCACATGCACCGTTTTAGGTAACATTGATAAATCTATGTATGAGGCAGTAAATTTTAATCGACTGAGACCGCCGGAACAGCTACTATCATCATTCTCAACGGACAGTGTTTGTTGATGTAAAAATAGATTGTAAGAAAGTTAGACTCATTCAAATCAAAATATCTCATTAATTCACGAACTCGTTAAATATTGAGCTGAGATATGTTAGTAAGTGTAGACTACCTGATTGGGAATCATCTGATTATCGTAACCAATGGACTTAGATGTTGGTTGAAATGGTTAAAAATCGGTTACAATGGTACAGTTCTAAAATTACCGCTCTAGTCTTTATCCTACGAATTTATTCTGTTAGGATATTCACCAAATGTCCTACGACGAATCATTTTGTAAGTGTAAATTATATTGGTCGAATCCTATTGGTCAATATTATAGTCGTCCTAACTTCAATGTTGTTTCTTATTGGTCGTCCTGACTATCATTGTCACTTCAAATGTTGCTTCCTATTGGTCGTCTTAACTGTCAATGTTACAGACTTCAATGCTGTTTCTTATTCGACCTAAATGTATAAATACGCATTATCTGTAACGTTTTATGACCCGAACCGGGGCTCGGATCCTCAGTCCGGGATCCTTGTGTTATTCTGGACTCGGACCTCGTACTTCTTGGGTAATTGTAGAATACAGGTTCTACTTCATATCAGGTCTTCTTAATTTATTCACTGGGGGTTAGGACAATCGGATTAGAGTAGGCTGTCGTGTCGCCGGATCCTCGCTCTCGTCTACTGACTAAGGTAAACTCCGTGATAGTTCAAGCATATCCATTGACGACATGTTTACATGCGTGCATTCATAACAGGTCTCCAGACCGGAGTCTTATTTGTAACATGCTCTACAAATCATCGTTCGAGGAAGTCGGTAGCAATATTACTACTTAGAATAATGTTTTTTTTATGGTGAAGAACAAGTATTTACTCTGATGCATTGCCATGAACATTCAGACAGACAAATGCAACGTAGAACTTCGTACGTAAGTACATCAGTTCATGTTGCCATACCATATCAGCACAGAGATATAATTGTCAATTCAAATCCAATAGTATTAGAGGTAGTAAAGGTATTAGAAGTAATCGGAGAGGTTAGGATTAGAAGATATTACTCAAGAAGTATGATTCAGTGAGATAAGGTTAGAAAGTCAAAACTAGAGGTGTTGAAGAATCCAGAAGGTTGGGAATCGAGAGAACACAAAGAATAAGTGCACCGGCGCCATTGCTAACGGTTTTGAGCCATGTCATTCAAGGTCTCTAACCATCGATTATTATCATCTCGCGGACCCCAACCAGGGGTAGTCGACAATTACCGACATGACTAAATCCACTCGTCAATGACTTCATGGATTTGTGCCATGTTTTTGTTTGGCCGCACCTAACTTTCTTCCAACCTACTCCTACACTATAAAACAAAGCTCGACGAGGCAGTCGGTGGTTAGGCATACGCAACACATGTCCCAACCACCTCAACTGATGAAGTGTAATTACTTCATCTGTTGATCTTCCATTCTTACCTAGCACCCGATTCCTAATAACAGCGTTGCTCACTCGGTTGTCTCAGGGTATACGAGCAATGCTTCGAAGACACCTATAATCGAAAACCAGTAACCTACGAATATCTTCTACTCTCACTGCGCCATATTTCACAGCCATAAAGTAAGACGGAGCGAACATTCTTACTAATCATCTAATTGAACTGGTTTTTTCATTTTCTCACGCTCTCTCTATAGTTATTACTCTCTTGAACTTTTTCGCCTTCTTTTAGGTAATCATTTAAGTTTAGCCGATTTCATTCTATTCCCACATTTACATCGATTCGAAGCAGTTATGGGTCGAATCAAAGGTAAACAACCAGAAGAAATCGATGTAATCAGTGTAAAGGATGATAAAGGGCTACGTGAAGATTTTCCCAAATTAATTACATTTTTAGAAATAATGCGTAAACAGTCATATGTGGCAGATGTTACTGTACCATGTCGTATGCATGCATTGTATGCAGCCTCTGTACTTTCAGGTGATAATAATCCTGATATGGAATAGAATAGAATAATGGTTTTCTTTAAAAAAAAATTGATTTGTCTATTGTCTAAGTTTATTTAAAGACAATCATACTAATGACTGTTTGCAAATGATTATTTTCTAATTATAGTAATAATAATAAATTCAATGTTCACGATATTTGTCTTTTTTTAAAATGAAGTATGTTTCAGTTCAACTTGACATATCCACTAGTTGGCACAGAGAGAGATTGAATTGTCAATTTAAAATTCCACAGAGGTAGTGGAAGTATTAGTGTAGTGAACGAGAACACAGGTGAGTGCAACCGGATTGTATTTAACGAAAATTACACAGTTACTCAGTAAAATAGGAAAACCATATCGTAAATTGTCTTGATTTGCAAAATATCAGTCCACCATCCATCGAACTGGACTGTTCCTGTTGCAAAACATCGTCAATCCATTGTCACTCACTGTTCATGCGTTTCATACAAATTCCATTGTGTTCTTCTAACTCTTCCTTTCTCTTGATCTTCCTCCATCTTCTCTTCTGCCAGACATTACGTTGACACTCACGTCATATACTACTTATAAGTAGCTCACACCACATTAGCAGTAATGGAGAAGCTTAGGGTTTGACAATATCATTCGAAAAGTATAATCCGGCGAAATAAACGTTTAAAAAAAAAGAGATAAGAAGTCCCAGTTGAATAATCGTTTCAGTAAATCAGTCAGCTACAACGTAGAACTTCGTAAGTACGCACAACAGTTCAAGCTGTAAAAGCATATTAGCGCAGAGAAATGGAATTTTCAGTTCTAATCCCATAGTGATAGAGATAGTAGAAGTATTAGCGGTAATAAGAAAGATTAGGAATCGAAGATATGATCTGAGATGTATAGTCCAGTCATGTAAAAATTCATATTCGAAATTAAGAGAAGACAAACAACGGATGCATCTGCGCTATGGCAAACGATTTTGAGCCATGTTGTTTAAGGTCTCTTGCAGCCCCCAACCAGTTAGTCAATCGACTTGTCAGTGACTTCATGGATTTGTGCCGTATTTTGATTTGGTCTCTCCTTGCTTCCTTCCGGCCTACTCGTACGTCTCAAAACATAGCTCGACGTGGCAGTCGGTGGTCGGGCATTCGTAACTCATGTCCCAACCAACTTAACTGATGCCGTTTCAATACTTCATCTGTTAATTTGCCATCCTTACCTCGTATCCGTTTCCTGAAACATAGCTTTGTCCCACGATACACGAGCAATGCTTCTAAGACATCTGTGATCGAATACTAGTAACCTATGAATACTCTCAACCCTTACTGTCCATGTTTCGTGTCCATAAAGAAGGGCAGAGCGAACTGCTGCGGAATATACTCGTCCTTTGGTTTACAAACGGATATCTCGCCTACGCCATAGGTGACGCAAGTTGGCAAAAGCCAATCGAGCCTTCTGTATCCGTCCCGAGATTTCGTCAGTCACCAGGCCATCAGTATTGATGAGACTCCCAAAATAAGTGAAGCGGTCTATACGTTCGACTACTTCACTCCCTATCACTAGTTCAGGTGCTGATAAAAGCCAATCGAGATACGACGAAGAAGCAACGGTAATATGGTTCTACTTGGTGACGGTCAACACATAAAAGCTCTAAATAAATTGCCATACTTTCACACAAAGTTTTTTTACGACAAATCGTTTAAACGATTAAAATTTCAACTTTTTTATTCACCGGATCTTGAGACTTGAGTAATTAAACAAATAATGTTATTGAGAATTTTCTGAAAAGCAATTAGCTTATCTTGTCAATTTTTTTAAAATTGGGGATGTTATATCCCTAGATCTGGCTTGATAAATGTCCTAATTTTGGATTTTATTTTTCCGAGCTGATGGTTGATCAGTTGACTTTGAGCTTTCATTTCCCACCAAGAGAATCCTTGACTGTGATTGGTTACAGTGTTACTTTAGTGTGCTACTTTTTTGACTCTCCCAAGGACGTCTCTATAGCTAAACGCGAGTTGTGTGCTGGCTGGATGTTTGTAGAATTTACTTTCTACGCTATATCAAGACTTTTCGTTAGTTAACGAACGGATCAGGCTAGCCTACCTGGGACTCTGGGTTCATTGTCTCATTCTCGTTATTCGACTAAGCTGAACCCGTAATAGTTTCAATCATACTTAGAGACAAGTGTACCAGTTACCCGTAATGATCACATGATATGCATATATACAGTCAACAATGAATACTAGCATCATCAATTCAATTCAATACAATACAATTTATTATATATGTACACTGGAAACAATATGCGACACCATAGCATCAAGTAAATTTAATGCTTGTACATAAATATTGTCAGTTTTGTTAGTAGTATTCATAGTGTTGGTAAAATTGTTGTCGTCATCATTATTATGTGATTCTGGTACTTGAATTATATCAAGAAATTTCTGTATTGGAATATGTAATGTTGATGATGTGTTTGTTTTGTCTACAATATCCGTACAGGAGGTTTGATTAGTGTATACAGCAAATATACTTGGTTCATTAGGAGTAATAGATTTTTTTGTGTAAAGTTTTGGATGAGTTACATCTATTGCAAATGTGATTACTGTGAAATGTGGGGGGGGGGGTGGTGTTGCGGAAAAAAACACATAAACAACAGAAGAGATAATATATGATTTGTTTATAAAAAATGAATAGGGTAATTATATTCTAATTCTATGGAACTGTAAACAAACTGATTTAATCAATCTAATCACTCAATAGAAATGTAGAACTTCGTACGTACGTTCATCAGTTCAATTTGTCATACCATACTAGCACAGAGATGTAATTGTCATATGTCATCTGACGCTACTACAATAGGGAGGGATGGGTCATAATGTGTCAGCGACAGATCCGAGTGTAGCAGTTTTTTATTCTTCTCGAAAGCAGTTTGACAACTATTGGACCAAAACCACTTTACGTTCTTTGCTAAAAGACTGTTTAATGGGGCACGTAGACGATGAAGGTCAGGGATAAAAGCTCTATAATGACTAACAAGCCCCAGAAAGGATCGAAGTGTGGAAACATTTGTCGGTCTTGGCATTTCTTTCAAAGATTGAATGTTTTCTGGATCTGGTTTTCTCCCGTCTTTATCGATAATAAAACCGAGGTAGCGTACACTCTGCATGAAATAGTCACATTTTTCCACACGAAGCCGGAATCCATATACAGCTATTCTTAATAGCACCTGGTCGAGCTTCTTTTCTAAGTCTATTCTATCAACAACATCTGCAGCCGAGTAAGAATCAATAACCCTTTAGAGTCAAGTCTGAGAAATGCCATTATGAAAAGGCATCTTCATGTATTTTCGGAAGCGTTAGGCGAATGTACGAAAGCTAAAGCACTACTACTCTCAAGTCAACAGCTATTCCTGTTCTTCGACCTGAAAGACCTGTACCTTATGCTTCTCTCCCGATAGTAGAACAGGAACTGGAACGACTTCAAAGCCAATCGAGAAGAAAGCCACGCACATTGTGGATTGATGAACTATTTGATTAATGTCCAAAATATTTAAACGACATTTATATAATTGTATAAATACGCATGTTTGATTGTATATTTTTGATTCTGTTAATAATAAGCGTTCTCCAACGTCTTCCGTCTTCTTATTTTTGAATGGAGGGGTCTAACGTTCGGTGTGTCAATTAGTACAGTGGTTTGGCGTTACATCAAGTACAAAACATAAAAGAATAAACTTAAAAAGATTAACTGATGAGGAATTCGCAAGGTTAGGATTTGAGAGAACACAATGAATGAATGCACCTGAGCCATTGCAAACGGTTTTGAGCCATGTTATTTAGGATCTCTAACTATCGATTACTATCAAACAAACTGATTATAGAGGCAGGTGACCTCAAGTGCTTTGGGCACAAACTCTCAGATATAAAAATGTTCCTGGGCAATGCTTAGATGATGATGACGATAAGTTCAGACAGAAGTTTGTTTAGTCAGTAAAAAGAAACTAGTTGGAAAAGACAACCGGAAAAAAAACGCACAACTAATAAGTTAATTGAAAAAACACTAAGCAGTTTGCATAAGTTCACAACAAAGGCGAAATAAGAAAACAATTTGAAATATCCGAATAATTCGTAATAAACAAGAACCGACAATAACTTGAACTATTTATGTTGTAAAAAATGCAGTTCAGTTAAGGTTGTTGTAGATAATAAATACAACTCCGCTTGAAGCCCTTCTAGGTTTATTAATGCCGGTCCAGAGACAGATACAACACAGAGCTTTGTACGTATTTACATCAGTTCCGGTTGCCATACCACATCAGCACAGAGACGCAGTCAGTCAGTTGCAACGTAGAACTTCGTACCTTTGTACAAAAGTTCAGGTTGCCATACCACATCAGCACAGAGACGCAACTGTCAGTTCAAATTCAAGAGTGATAGCGATATTAGAAGTATTAGCAGTAATGGAGAAGATTAGGGTATAATTTGAGATAAAGTTAGAAAGAGGAAGATAGAGATGATGAGGAATTCAGAAGGTTAGAATTAGAGAGAACACAAAGAGTGGATGCACCTGCCCCATTGCAAACGATTTTGAGCCATATCGTTCAAGGTCTCTACCTATCGGTGACTTTCGTCTCGCGGACCCTAACTAGGTAGCCTACATCTACCAACATGACTCAAATCAATTCATGTTGCCATACCACATCAGCACAGAGACGCCACTGTCAATTCAAATCCAATAGTAGAAGAGGTACTAAGGGAATTAGAAGTAATCGGAGAGGTTAGGGTTACAAGATACTAATCAAGAAGTATGATTCAGTGAGAAAAGTTTAGAGAGTCGAAACTAGAGGTGTTGAAGAATCCAGAAGATTAGGGTTTGAGAGAACACAAAGAATAAATGCACCGGCGCCATTGCGAACCATTCTGAGCCATGTAATTCAAGGTCTCTAACCACCGATTATTATCATCTCGCGGACCCCAACCAGGTAGTCGACAATTACCGACATGGCTAAGTCCACTCGTCAATGACTTCATGGATTTCTGCCATGTTTTGGTCTGGCCGACCCTAACTTTCTTCCAACCTACTCCTACACTACAAGACAAAGCTCGTCGAGGCAGTCGGTGGTTAGGCATGCGCAACACGTGTCCCAACCACCTCAACTGATGAAGTTTCACAACTTCATCGATTGATCTGCCATCCTTGCCTAGTACTCGTTTCCTAACGACAGTATTGCTTACTCAGTTGTCCCACGGTATACGAGCAATGCTTCGAAGACACCTATGATCGAAAACCAGTAACCTACGAATATCTTATACTCTCACTGGCCATGTTTCACAGCCATATAGGAGAACGGAACGAACTGCTGCACAGTAAACTCGTCCTTTGATTAGAGAACGGAGCTGAGATTTCGTCAGTCACCAGGCCATCGGCACTGATGAGACTTCCAAGATAAGTGAAGCGGTCTACACGTTCGACTACTTCACTCCCTATCACTAGTTCAGGTGCCGATGCAACCCAGTCTTGAAGCAACATTTTGCATTTCGAGGGTGAGAACCGCATCCCGAACATGCTTGCATTGTTGCTTAGGGTAGTCAGAAGACTCTGCAATTTGTCAGCATCTTCACCAAGTAGGACAATGTCATTGGCATATTCTAAGTCAATAAGCGAGCCAGCTGGTGAAAGGTCTACTCCTGAAAATTCAGACGAGGATAAGGTTATTTCTAAGAGCATGTCTATGATAAAATTAAATAAGAATGGATAATGTGGACATCCCTGACGGACACCACTTGAAGTGAAGAATTCCGGTGACAGTTCGCCATAAGCTCTCACTCGACTAGTGGTTTTCGAGCAAAGGGCTTGTATAAGGTTGATGTACTTCTTTGGTACACCCTTTCAATGACAGACACTGCCACAGAACGTCACGATCCACAGAGTCAAATGCCGCCTTAAGGTCCAGGAAAACAACTATCGTAGGACGTCTAAATGTGTGTCTATGTTCCAGGACCTGTCGTAGTGCGAAGATGTGGTCTATACAACCGCGTCCAGGTCGAAAACCAGATTGGTTTTCTCGAGTCTGCTCTTCACGAGCTTTCGTTAAGCGTCGAAGTATTACTGAGGCCAATATTTTAGATACTATATTAGTTAGACTTATTCCCCTGTGATTGTCACAAGAAGACTTTTTTCCTTTCTTATAAATTGGGACAAATCAGTGATTGAGACCACTCGGATGGGATTGCGTCCAGTTCCCAGATTCTACCTAAGATCTCAGTCACCTAGCAGATGAAACTGGACCACCATCCTTAAATATCTCAGGGGTCAGTCTATCAGGACCTGCAGCTCGTCCTCGTTTCAGATTTCCTAACGCTTTCTCAACGTCCTTAAAACTGGGGGACTTAGGTCGATTTGCCATTCAGGATGACTGGGGATCGTGGGTAACCGCAGTGTGGCTGAAGGCCAGTTGAACTGATCCCTAAAGTGTTCTGTCCATCGATCCAGTCTCCTGGATTGAAATCCACGGTTTCATCCTAGCCTTATGGTTTACCTTACTGGCAGATATCACTGCTGTTTCCACAGCCTTTTTGATATCATACCAACCTGCTTCTGGATGGGAATCACTTACATCG